ATTCAGAAAATCAAAGAATATATTGCTATTGTAATCTGTAAAAATTTCATTAATTACTTACGAGTTAGATAATTTTTGTGTAGATAAGAAATATTTTAATAAATATGAGAGAGAGAGAGAGAGAGAGAGAGAGAGAGAGAGAAATTTAAAATAAAATTGTATTTTTAAAAAATTAATAAAAATACAACTATGGTATTATACAAAAGGGCAAACTCGACTCTGCTTTCGAGCAACTTCTACTAATGTTTATCAATAGAGTAGTTATGAAAGCAAAGTTGAATAGTCCCTTTTGTATAATCCATAAAATTATATATTAGTAAGAAATAAATGATTTCCACACAATTATAACTTTTAATGATTTTATTAGGCAATTAAAATCATAACTTCCAACACATTATACTACTAATAAAAATATTGCAATGATAACAACTCCAATACACGAAGCATAGTGATATAATAAAATAATTTTTATGCCGGTTTATTACTAAAAGTTTTTAGGCTTTATACAACTCTGGAATTTAGTCTAAACTTTATCGTAAAAATATTAATGTATCATGCGCATATTTATTGCCACGCGTTGTACAACACGCCCATTATGGCAACAATCAGCACCATTGAGTTGAAGTACAGGGTGGCGCTGCCATCGGACACACCTTCGCACTCTTTCTCGGGTCTCTCCTCCTTCTGTATATTAAAGCAAAAAACGATTTTTAAAGTAATTTATTACAAATAAAAAATTTTTTTATTTATTAAGATATTGTAATATTTATATATTTTTTGATAATATCGTACTATAAGCATAGTTCAAGCTTTAATTAGGGTCAAACTATTACGGAAACCTTGTTTCACATTGACCAGTGTTTATTTTACTTATTAGTTTATGAATCATAAAAGCTCGTTAGATGAAATTTTATTTTAAAAATTATTATTTGATAGGTAGCTTATTGTATTGTAGTATTACCGTGCTACTTTATCTATGCAGTATCTAGTGACTTAATTATAAAATGATATATAAACATAGAAACAAAGGATATCATTTTGCTACTAATTAAATTTTATCAGGCTTACGATATAAAAACAAAAATTTAACCATGAACATACCTTGAACGCGCGGCACACTGCAGTTCGCAAGTCAGTGCGGGCATCGTCATTACGCTCACCATTAATGTAAATCAACGGGTCGTTATCTAGTAATATGACATATTAAAAAATCATAAGCATATTAAAAAACAAAACATGTTATGTACAATACAAAAAGTTCAATTAACAGTTGCCCATTGAAATGTCCCCAAATAAACTTTTTCTGTTGTACACGACAACTAATAGGCTGCCCTTTTATCAATTACGTACCCTTATTGAGTTCCTCAAACATGTGGATCACGTTGGTGGCCGATATAGCCTCGTCCAAGTATACGTTATCCGTCTTGGCACAGGTTTCGAGGTTGAAAGCGTCATCGGGCTCGTCATTGACCTCGTTCGAACATTTTGCGATATTTTTGAGGGGGGCGGTGACCCAATCGGTCTCCTGGGTGGTGCACACGATCATGAAGAACTCGTGGTGGTTGTGGTGCAAGTTGCCCGTGTAATGGCTCATGCAAGCCTGCTCAAAGATAATTGTCATTGATCGATTAGTCATGAGTCTGTACGCCTATTTTGTGGCTACTGTACTTAGTTGACTACGCTAAATATTCGGTCAAATTTTAATTTATTCTCTCTCTCTCTCATCACTTACGTGAAGTCTTGTGCCTACACAATCCGCATCCTTTTCAGCACTTTCAGTATTACTACAATCATATACGAGTTTGTCACTCTCGACCTTTCGGACGTTCCTACCCCAGGGTACAAAATCGACCTCCACCTTGTAACTGACCTCGGTCTCTGAGCCCTCTTTCGGCACCATAAGGGCGTAGATACCTTTATCGTTGTCTTTTTTGTTGAGTCTAATAAAGTCAATGGCACTCTGACTGAACGGTGTGTAGAACACCTGCACCGTAACCACGGGTGTGTTAGCAACATCGTCCAGTGTCTATGAAAATTCAGTAGCATGGTAAATTTAAAAACATTTGAATATCACATTAACTAATTTATTAAATAAGTTTTTGTTAATCCATATATTATATTCCTAATGTAATATATTCTAATTTTTATTATATTTATATATGAACTAGTTATATTAAAAATAATTTTCAAAAATTACAAATAATTACCTGTGGTTTGAACTCAAACACAGCACATGTGCTCAATATAATTGTTAAAACAATTAGTAAATTCATTATAAAATTTAAAATAAATCAATTTTAAAAAAAATCAAAGTTGCTAGTTTATGAATTATATAGACTTTTAAACCCCTATTCCAATGGGAGACTAAACACAAACTGATGGAAATATTACACAAAATATGAGTTTTTAATTAAAATGTTTAAAATAATAGATTTTTCTTGTTGAGCGATATTTATATGCCAAGTTATATTAAATGAACATAAAATATAAAGATCATTTTTTATGGACAAACATTATCTGATTAGATAATTGTCATTTGCCTAAAAAACATGTTTAGGCATGTTCGACTTTCCAAAATGATTCCCATCCCATAT